TGCTGAGGTGCTGGGCTAACCTGGGACATTCAGTAGGGGAGAAAACTCCAGCCTTTGGGAGCCACGATGTCAGCGGCTCAGAGAGTCCTTAGGGTCAAAAAGTACCAAGGTGGGCAGGCAAAATCTGTAGTCGTGAGATTCACAGGAGATTGGTGACTTTGCAAATCATACTCCAGGAGGAAGCAGGACAGCCACTGGGCTCTGTTTAGCAGCTTTCACGGTTTAAACAACTTAAGGTCTCACTTATGCAGGATGGGGCCCCACCAAAGGAAATGCTGCAGGTGAGGGGATTGGGAAGTCCTTTTCTGAATTCTGCTGCCTCTGTACACAGCAAAGACCCACTGTGTGTCTTCCCAGCTCCACATGAACCATAAGACCTCCTGTGTTGGGGTCTGTATCTTGACCCCCAATCTACCAAACATGTGCACAGCAAAGGCTCAAAGGAATAAGACACACAGCATGACCTTTAGGGCTGCAGGAGGAGTGAGGTCCTCAGCAGAGCTCCTAACTGTGTTAGCTGGTTAGCCCACTGATGCTAGACACCCAGGGTTTAATCAGAACAAGCAAGGAGCTGAGTGGACAAGGGAGGAAACCTGATCAGAATCTTGGGAGGGGTTCAAGGACCCCTCAGAGCAACAGACTATCCTAATTAAGGAAAACTATCCAGAAAGTCTTTAGGTGGCCTCGGCCTTGGCCTATCTTGCACCATGAGATGTTTCTTCATTCTCAGTTCTATCAGGCCCGGGCCACGCCACAGCCCTGCACGTGTATTCAGCTTCAACGCTCTCAAACACTCCTGGACCTCATCTTCCTCCTGGTGCCATGTGGATAATGATGATGGACTCCAGGCTCTAAAGGGAACTGGGGGAGCAGGGTCTAACCTACCCGATGGCCCTGCAGTCCCAACCTCAGCACCATGGGAAAGAACATCTCCTTTGAGGGCTTCAGGGAAGACCCAGAGCTAACATCTACCCCATCTCCCTACTGTCAAACCAGCTCTTGGAAAAAGGGGCTGCCAGGGGCTTAGCCTGGAGGAAAAGGGTTGTTTCTGCCATCAGCCAGGGCCTGGGGCCTTGACAGGAAGTCCTGTCAAGCAATGCCAAGCAGCTGAAAGAAAATGTTGGCAAGGTCAACTCCTGAATCAAGGATGAGACTAAAGCCTGGAGCTTTCTATAAGACATCTTGCCTTTTTCGACCATAAAGCTAAGAAAACAGAAATCAAAGATTAAATTGGATACTGCGGATTGGCTGAATTTCTACTGCTTGTCTAAAGAAAACTGGAGCATTGGCCAGGAAGGAACAGGACCCAGAAACAGGACAGGGACATATGGAAGTTTTTGAAATACTTAGGGCCTTCTGAATTATGAACCCTCAAAGAACCTCCTCTGCCTCTGGAAACCTCTCTTCTCCAGTCTTTTGAAATGCTTTGTGGAGACACGATGATTCCTTTGTCTTGTCTGCAGAAGCCAACCTACACAGAACTTCAGCTCCCCATGTGTCCTGCCCTGCACGTTGCTCAGTTCTGATGCAGTATATCTCAGCCTACTTCAGAAGAAAATGTCCTATCACTTTTCCATCACGATACAACATTCCTAGGGCTGGGTACTGTACAAGAAAAAATAGAGAGATTTACTTACCTCATGGTTTTGGAGGCTAGTAGTCAATGATCAGGTACCCTCATCAGTTCAGCCTCTGGGGAGAAATGTCAGAAGGTGTCACAGTGACATGTGTGAAAAGGAGAGACAGTATGGCAGTACAGGAAGGCAGAGCACAGGGAGGGGCTAGACTCACTCAACCCTCTCTCCAGAACTAGCCCATTGCTGCTGAGCTTGGTGCTCCCTATGACCTAATGACCTCCTACCAGCTCGCACCTCTTAAAGGTCCCACTATTCATGACATTGTCATGCTGAAGACCAAACTTCTAACGCATGAACCTCTGAGAGACATACTCCATTCCCAAGCCACAGAGGGTGGCAGCGGCAAATGCATGCCAGGAGGAAGGGTTACAAATTAATATAACCTCAAGAACTTTGTTCTGTGGTTCTGGGGAACAACTGCAGGGCCTTCACACTAAGCTACATCTTCAGCCCTTTGGGTTTTTTTAAATTTTGAAACAGTCTCACTAAATTGCCTAGGCTGGGCTGGAACTTGCAATCACCTTGTTTCAGCCTCCCAGAGTGCTGGGATTACATCAGCATACCTGGATCAATTCTAGGACTTTCTTAATTTTTTTTCATATCCTCGGGAAAATATGTGTTGGAATGGAATGTGAGGCTGCTTTAACAATGGATGGAAGAACATCTTCTTGGTTGAAAGTTACTGATATGGGTACTTGTCACAAGAAGCTGGGTGTATGTCCTAGTGTGGGAAGGGGGACTGACTTCTGAGTCCCAAGAGACTGACTGCTGGACCTCAGATGACTGATCACAATGTCCTGAGCCTCAGCTATCCCACATGCACTGGAGTAGCTAACTCATTTATGAAAGCCCCTGTACCAATTAGAAATGGTTTATATGGGACTAAGCCTGACAGGGTCCTGAAGGCACAAGTAACTGTCATTTGAAGGTGGCTCGGTCCTCATGTGTTGCCCCTGGCCCTGGCCCTTTCATAAATGGAACAGTGTCCCAAGGAGAGTCTCCCAACAATCTTTGGCCAGGAGAAGAAAAACTGCAGTGCTTCACACACTGCAACCCACGTGATAGGCCGGTCCAGCTCTCAATTTCTCAGGGAGGGCAGCTTATGGTACACATAGCAGGCAAGAGACAGCTTTTACATGACTTTGCTTGGAAGGAAAGAATGATATAAGAAGCTCTTCCAATGTGCAAGCAGTGACAACTGATCTGGCCAAATAACTAAGACTTTGAAATGAGCAAGATTGAAGGTTTGGTGATAGAGAGGTTTGGGTACAGGATCCCACTCCCAGAACGGACCCAATTTGAAAATTATTGTTTCTCTAGTAAAAGGAACTCCTCTGAAATCCCCACTACAAAAAGGATCTTCTTTTTAAGTGGGCAAAATAAAATATAAAAACAACCAAACAAAACTTGTCTAGACTGCAGATAGAGCTCAGTGGTAGAGCACTTGCCTAGCACATGAGGCCTCAGGTTCAATCTCCAGCACCACACAAAAAAAAAAACCAAAACCAACCAAGTAATGAACTGGGCAAGACTGTCTACTCTATATGTGACAGTTTCTCTTGACTTTACGTTTTTAGTGCCTGCAAAAGGAATGTGCCACCCACCATGGGGGCTGCTAGCTACCAGGCAGGTCCCTTTGGAATCGGGATGTGTAGAATATGCACGAGACCTAATTCCATTGAAACAGAAACCTAAAGAAATGCAAATAGAGGAATTAGGGTACGTGTAGGTGCTGAACAGGAAAAAGGACTCAATAACATTTTGGACTTGTTGGTTGGCCATCAGAAAATTAACGCGCCTTTACATGAATGGCTATCTTTAGGCTAAGTCCTGGAAGTCACCTCTACATCCATCAGCAGTTAATATGGTTAAAGAAAACGTGGTATTTTACACACAATGGAGTGCTGCTCCGACTGAAAGGATAAACTTGAGTCGACTTTGAAACTATCATAAGTGAAATAAGCTTAAATATCACATGGTTTCTCTTATGTGAGGAGGCCAAAGTATAAATAAAGAGCAAAATGGAAGATAGATCATGGGAAGTAGGAAGATAAAACTTTGTCAAATGGGAAGGAGATCAAGAAATGGGGGGAGGGAAAAGACATAAAAAGAATTAAGATGTGTCACATACATCACCAACTCCCCTCGAGAAATGTAAGTAAACACTGCAGCTTGCAAATATGTGGTAGTAGAAAATAAAAACCAGGGGAAAAAAAGTGTGGATTATAATGCTGACTGCAAAGACAAGTCCTGGCAAAATATCAATGCTGCACTGTGAGGCACAGGCCAGGGTGGGAGAAGTGAAACTCAGTGGTCCTCCCAGGAACCTTCTCCTCCCCAATCACTCCAAGGGTGGACGCTGAAGGAAGACCGCTGCAGTCCTGCGTACAGACAGGGCCACCTCAGTGTGCAGCCTGGGAAGGGGAGATAATGTCATGCTGGGTGGGCGCCCGATCCATGGGGTGCTAGCTGAAGACAGCACGACCCAGCAGGGAAGCCAGAAGTGAGCAACCTGAAATCATCCAGGGCTTTTTCCTCCAGAAAAAGAAACAAGAGCTGTAGGTTCCATGTTCCTTTCTGTGCCATGTGTGTATGTCAGTATTTTAATGTTCTTTCTTTCCTTCCTCTTTATTTTCTTTTATAAACAGAGTACATGATTAGGGTTCGCTTTATACTGTACCTCAAACAGGACAGAAAAAATGACAGGGGTTGTGACTCAACTTGGGGAGGAGTGGACATTACTCTGTGATCCCTGGCACATGATTTGACAAAGCACAGAGCACCAAGGTGGCTCCCTTTGAAGAAGGGATGAGTGCAGTTTTGCCGGTGTAAGGAATGGCCACATTTTCTCAAATACTTTTTCTTAAGTGCAAACAGGGGAATGCACAGATGAACTTGGTTTCTTCTTTTGGCTCTGAACTTGTTCCAAATGTTTGAAAATCTATTATGTGAGTCTTGGCTAGGGCCAGGACTAGCTAGATCATGAGCACAGGATCTCAGCTGTAAGAGCTAGACATTTCCACTTATTACCTTGATGGTGTCCAGTGTCTTGGGGTCAGCACTAGAAGTCAAGGCATCTAAACTGTGTTGTTCCCCAGGTGAAATTAGGCCATGATCCCAGACCTCTAACTTTCTTATATCCAACACATTTCTAGGCCTGATTCTCCTACAGATACTGTCATTCCCTTAATAACCTTTCATTAGATTCCTCCTGAATACTGTTAATTGCAACCAAGGCTCTCACCAGCATTTCTTGTCTGGGCTTTTCCTTTTAGTTTTGGGTAGGGGAGAGGTTAGATCCAATTATGAATTATCATCCCTGGAAAGTAGTAGCTTTGAGAAGGACTGGACATTACATAGATCTTCCACAACAATATTCCTTTTATTAATAATCACAGTTACAATGTCTTATTCAGCAGAAAGAACAATTTGCATTATGTAGAACTGTATACAAAGACATAAAACAATGAAACATACACATACAATAACCACCAACCCAGCTCATCTCAACCATTCCAACCTCTGAATGTGTCTTCAGTTTTGATCATCAGTGAACTCAGTTAATCTCAACCAATCCAATCTCTGAATGCATCTTCAGTTTTGATCATCAGTGCTTTGGAAGAACATACACAGACCCAGTGAAAGGCTGGCTTTCATGGTCTTCATAGAGCATTCACAGAGCAGGAGATTCACCCTTGGAAATGACTGGACATGTAAACTTGGGAGATCAGGGATCGATAACACAATGCCTGAATGCCTGGCTCTTTGGGTTGGCTGCCTTCTTGGCAGAGTCCACTCAAAATCCCAAAAACTTCTCTGAGTGAGAAGAGAGGCCTTCACTGTGTTGAAGCAGACAGGTCCTGTGGCCCTGGCTGGAGAAGTTATGTGGCTTCTAGTCTAGTTCCAATCATTTATGGTCCTTTCATAATAACTTAGCTAAAATTTACTTTAAGAAGGCAATGTCAAAATCTCTCTCTCTTTTTTTTTTTCTACTTTTCTTCCTGTTCCATCCTAAGCCTTCTGGCCAGACTACAGTCAAGCCCATTGCAGCTCAAGAGTCTCTGGCTGGGTGATAAGTTACCAAATGGTCAGCAGGGAAAGAGCCACTGTAGGCTCCAAATGCCCTTCCTTCACCTCCATCAATTAGTGGAGAGTTGGGGTTTTAGCAGTTTGCTGGTATTCTCAAGTCTGTTAGAAAGATGGAGCCTAGAAGCTTAAATGAATGAATGCCTAGGAGTTTGGGGACCACGATGAACACTCTATTCTTAGAACCCACTGAGAGCAGAGAGCTCTGCTCAAAGCTACACTCCTCTTTCCACAGGGTTCACTGTGTTTGCAGTCGTCCTAATATCAGAATCCCTTTAACATCAGTAATGCAGATTTTTGCCTTAAAAAAAGAAAAAGACAAACAGACTGGCTAACTTCCCTTTGTCTGTGGCCTCTCCCATGCTCTGGGGGAGGGAGAGGAAGGTGCATTCTTCTTCAGGCTGACTCGGCCTCAGCAAAAGGGTGTCGCATCCGTGAAGCTCTAGTTTCTGCATTCTGAGGGGGCAGAAGCTCTGCACTGAAGGAGCAGAGCAGTGCCACCAATCTGTGCTGAGCCCAAGGCCTAAGCGCTCAAGAGACTTCTGGGAACTTACTTCTGTGGGTGGCCTTGAGGAGCTGCCAAAGAGTCTAGTGAGGGAGACTGAGGGAGGAAAAGAGAGATTTCCCTGATCTGTATGTCCTTGACAACCCCAGCTAAGGCATATTCATTCCATGGGCAAAACAAAACCCTGTGGTTCCATGACACCATGAGATTCTAAAGAAAGCCAGTATCTCCCTCAAAAGCAAAGGAAAAGTGGTCAGATTTTCATCAGGGTGGATCCAAATAATGAGATGAAGAGGAGAGAAAAGAACAGTGTTTTAATTTGAAGACAAGGGTTGTGGTCCCGCAGAAGTCTGGTGCTGGCTTTCCTGGGGTCTGAAGGGTCTTGGTGTTAGCCCAGCCCCACATCCAGTGACATCATCACCACAAATCCCAGGATGTACGTCCAGGATGCCAGCTTCCCGTTACCACTAGGAGAGAATGGGAGGGAGAACAGGAAGATCTCAGTGGAAGTTCTGAGATGCCGTCTACGCCGGAGGCCTCCTCTGTAGTGTCCAGTTCCAAAGGGAAACAGCCTACAGGCACCTACTTCAGCAAGGGAGCTGAGGCTCTGCCTCACAGCTGCTTAATGTCACCCGTGTTGTGACCTTGTGCCTTTCCTCCCTGTCAATCCCAGAGGGCACAAGTGTGGAGGGACAACACTGAAAGGGATGAGGAGAGGAAGATGCAGCTGCAGGTCCAGGGTAGGGGTAGGACAGGCTGGGCTAGGGGCAGGCAGGAAGGCCACCTCCCTACCTGAGCTGGGCTTCAGGGATGATGTCATCTATGACCACGTAAACCATGGCGCCTGCAGCAAAGGCGAGAGCGTAGGGCAGGATGGGCTCAGCCAGCACCACAGCGAAGGCCCCAAAGGCCCCAGCCAGGGGCTCCACCATGCCACTCAGCTGCCCATACCTAGGGAGAGAAAGAATAGAAGCACAGGCCGCTGGAGGGACGGCCAGGTGGACGCTCCACATGTCCAAATTTGGGGTTTAACCCCAGAAAATGGAGGTGTTTCATTCTGAGTCACATCTGAGTATAGCAGTGCAAAAGCAACTCAGCATCACAGCTACCGCCTCTTCCTCTGCCTACAGACCCAACCTCAATTCCTTTAGAGCTTTACACTTCAGAACATGTCTTTTACACCTGACAGCACTAATGGGACATAATTCACATCCCATGTGGCACACATATTTAATGTGTACATTCAGCAGCCATTAGTATATTCACAAGGTTATGGAAACATCACCACTAATTCCAGAGCACGCTCATCACCTCTGAAAGAACCTGCACTTGCTGGCAGCTGCTCCTTGTTCCTTCCTCTTCTTGGTCCCTGGCAACCACCAATCTATTTTTTTCCTCTGATGTTTACTGCCCCTGTATATTGCATGTAAATGGCATCACAGAATATTGGTCCTTTTTTCACTGGTTTATTTCACTTAGCAAAACCTGTGTAAGTTGCACCCTTATAGTGCATATGCAGAGCATTCTGCAGCGTGGCTGTACCCCGTTATATCTCTGCTCCTCATGAGGTGCCTACATGGCGGGACAGGACGGTGGGATAGCCATTTCTCTAGCTGTTCCTGGCATGTCAGGGGCTCCGGCCTCAACTGCTAGCTTTCTAATTGGGTGGCAATGACCCACTTCCGCTGCAGCACCCACCTAATCATATGTGTGCTGACAGCCCTCCCTTGAGTCCTGGATCAACATGAGATTTCTCCCTTGAAGAAATCCTTTTATTTGTGCTAGCAAGAATGAATGTCCTCAACTATGCTCCATAGAAACAGCAACACTCAGGAGTATTGAGAAAAAGCAGGAGATGAGTCAGCATCTGAGACCCACAGGCAAATGCCACTTGCTACAGGGAACCACAGGGCAAGAAGTCAGGACAGCTAGAGTCAGGCATGGTGGTGCATGCCTGCAGTTCCAGCTCTCATGATGCTGAGGCAGGAAGATCACTCACTGTGAGTTCAGCTACATAGTGAGTTCAAGTAGAGCCAGAACTACATAGTAAGACTGTCTCAAAAAGGAGGAGGAGGGGAAAAAATAGTAGGGAGTAGCAGCAGCAGCTGGGACAATCTTCTTGCAGTGGGCATTTAGCAAGATACACTGCCTCTGAGCCTCAGTCCCTCCACTTGTAAAGCGGGAATGAGAGCTGTCTCCTTGCCAGCTCCCCAGATGAGAGGCCACACTGCGGGGTCTGTTGACTCCTCCCACGCTCTTCTTCCCTTGCCCCATGTGCCTTAGGGATGAGGGAGACCCTGTTTTTACTGGGGAATCCTTTAAAGGGGGCACTGCTTGCTGGCTCCCCATACTTTGGTTCACAGACCAGCAGCACTGGTAAGTCTTTGGGTGTATAATTTCTGCCTTGGGTTTGTCACCCCAGGAAAATGAGGATTTGAGGTCAAGCCTAGAAAGGAATGAAAGAGAGAGAATAAAATTTTATCTGAGTCTGGCCGCTACCATAAGAGCTCAACATCTTCCCCTCTTCTTCCTGGTGCTTCAGCTATATGAAATGACAGCCAGAGCTGTTACATTTACTTTTTCAAAAAACTCAAACTCTATGGCCACCCTGCTAGTTCTTGCTCAGAACACCTTCAGAGATTGAAGAAGGCAGTAACAAAATAAGTGTGTACACAAACTTGTGAATCCTAAAGTCTTCGAAATGGAGGGTACTTTATGATTGCTACTGGCAGAACTTTCAGGTGCTCTTACCATATCGAGTAGAGTACTGACTGTTTTAACTAAGAAATGTCTAAGAAATGTCAGAGCCCCAATCACAGACAGGACAGAAAACCTTCTGCGTATTGGGCTTCTCACCACTGATGAGCCAATTGACTCAGGATGGCCATCTGATGTCCCGTCCCACAGCTCCTTCCTTTGAAAATGGGACATGGACATTGAAAGGTGACAGGCCCTCAGGGGAAGGAAAAACCAGTGAGTGTAATGGTCATCATCCTTTATGCTCATCTTCACATTGATGAGTGTAAGGCAGGAGCTACCAGAGTGACTCTTGGGGCCAGGTGGTGGCAGTGTGTCTGCTGATGCATGTAATATATACAATGGACAGACCAAAGAGGGAGATAATCTAACACTGCTGTGCGGTCCACAGAGGGGGACTGAAATAGGATACAGCTATTCCAGTTGGGGTGTGTAGACGGGAAGGCTAGGAGGTAGGATTTTTCCTTCAGGCTTGCCAGCCTTGGGAGACAATATTAACCTGCATTATGGGTGCTTTACTACAAGCCCCAGCCTGGCTTCCAAGAAGTAAATGCTCTCACAGAAAACAGCGCACACAGAACACAGGGCAAGAACCACACACTTGACATCAGAGGCAGCTGTGCCTCTGACATTGAGGCACTCACCAGAAAGCCCTCCAGGTGGAGAAGCCTGCCCCTCGCAAAGGGAGGCTGACAGCCAGGCCCTCTGGGAAATTCTGGATTCCAATTCCGAAGGCCAAATTCCTGAAAAACCAAGGAGGCATGTGAAGCTCTTATCTGCAACTGTGAACTCACACAAATGGGGGACCCTGGCCAGAACAAAAACTCTTTTTTGGTATCAGGGAGCTGAGTGACATAGATCTTTCTCCCCATCTTCCGGTCCGGGGCTGGTGACAGCATCTGCAGGGTGCTACAATCCAGCAGAGAACATGCTGGCTAGAGATTTGGCTGACTGCACTGCTCTGCACAAACCATTTCACTTTATCCACCTCTTTACCTTGTCCACAAATGGGAAATACCAACATTCACCTTGATTGGCTGCTATATGACCCAGGGACCTCGCTAACCTGTAATGTTCTAGCACATATCAAGTGCTCAAAACATTATAGCATGTAATCTCTACGTCACGCAGATGGGTATATCACATTCTATCCAGAAGTAAGTTCAGGAGTGGGACAAGTACATTTGCAGAATCTGATGGTGCAGCTCTGGCTGGGGTCTGGCATAATCACGTTATATCTGGGTGGTGCTCACTGTGATCCTCTGGCTTCCTGCTTCTATGTTTCAGGGCGCTGAAGGGCCCAATGATGTGCGATTGGGCCAGCTGGCCAGTCTCTGATTTTGAAAGCCTGCTTTGGGGCTGGGGGTTTAGCTCAGCGGCATAAGCGCCTGCCTTGCAAGCAGGCAGTCGTGAGTTTGATCCCTGGTACCAATAAAAAAGAAAAAGACAAAAAAAAAAAAAAAAAAAAAAGCCTGCTTTGTCCATGAGCTAGGAATTGGCATGCAGAGGGAGGGCAAAGCAGGATAAGACAGGTGTATGTCCAACAACACGTGATTTAGCCAGGAACACAGGCATGTACATAATTATTAATTCGTAATGAATTTTATGAAGAACTCTATTACACATGCTGCACACAACCATGTATCAACCAAATGTCAAACTCAGAGAAAGCAGAACTGTGAGGGGTGGGATACTGGTCAGGCTGAGTGCAATAGGGAGGAGGACATTTGAGACAATCTCCCCCAGCAAGATGCTACGTTGACTAAACAGGCACAAGGGGCAGACCCTCCATAGAAGCCCATCTGATCAAAAAGGCCTCAAGGGCATGAAAAGGTCACCACTTGGCTCTAGCCATGGCCTCTGTTCCAGTCTCCAGCACAGAACACAAGGGATAATCCCCAGTGGTTCACTGTTTTTCCAATACTGGGGACTGAATCCAGGACCTTTTTACTGAGCTCCATCCTCAGCCACTTTTATTTTGAGGCAGGGTCTCACCAAGTTCCTAAATTGCCAGGCTGGGCTCTCAGTGTTGAATATTTAATCTTCATTAGGTTTCAGGGCTATAGCTTACCAGTGTTTGTCTTTATCCCACCCCCATTAACAGAGGCTTCACGAGTGGGGCCCCACTGCTCAGAACACCCATCCCAGGGGCAGTTCAAGAAGACTCTTAAAAAACAACTGACCCCACCAGAACCCTAAACTTGGAAACATTTAGCTGGCATGTGGTTCATGTCATTAGCTCTCATCCTATTCTCCCTTCTTGATAGCTTTACAATGTCTCCCCTCAGTGTCCACTCATTTGCTTATCAAAATGATGGCATCCAATATTTATTACTAGCTCCTTAGTAGGGGACCTGTTACGCAATCTTACAGTTAGCAGGGCCACTGAGCTCATCTCTCCAGACTAGAGGCAAGGACTGTCCCTAAAAATAGAGTAGATAGGCAAGAGGACACCTTTACCCCACTGGCCCAGGCCTATGGTCCAGCACTGTCTCTACTGCTCTCTCCTACAAGTTTGCCAAACCTTCATCCATGTTACCTGAGGCTGCTCTCCGTTTACTTTTTAAGGAGGGACTTAGACACACCCTAGCCTCATCCCATGACCTAAGAGGCAGCAAATGTTTTCCTGCAAAGGCCCAGAAAGTAAATATTTTAGGTTTTGTAGCCACTGAGTTTGTGTTGTAAATGTGGACAATACATAAACATAAATACAAACACATGTGACTGGGTTCCGATAAAACTTTACTTACATGAACAGAAAGATAGGACAAGATGGCACCACAGACCCTGGACATGCCCTGTTCATTTTAGGTTATCACAGCCAAACATATAGTAAAGTTTGGGGCAGTTGGACTTCTCTTGTCCAGATCCTGGGTCTACAGTGGGTTCCTCTGAGATTTCAAAGGACAGGTTAGGAGGCAGGAAGGAAACTTGCAGCAGGGCCAGAAATCCTGCAAGATTCTCCACTGGGAGAATGCCTACTGGAGCTGAAGGATTAGAGTACAAGAACAGACCCCAGAAGCGTGGAAGTGTTGGCAGGATGCCAGGCCAGCCTTTCACAGGCACCAGCCAGAAGTCACCCTTGACCTGCAGCCAGCAAAGAGGTAAAGGTGGAAAGTTGTGGGTAAGAGTTTGGTGCGGATGGCTTGGCAACATGAGCATCTTCTCGTCCTGGGCTCCTTGTGCTGGCTGGTTTGTTTAGGTGCACAGAAGCTCCCAGGAGGTGTGGACTCTTGCTTTGCCTAAGTTGGCATCCTTCTCTGGTTGCTCCAGGTTCCAGCTCTGCCAGGACCCAGTGGATACAGATGAGGCACAGAACAGAGAGTGTACTGTGGCTTGTGCATGCTCCCACTACCCCTGATCTGTCCCAGTTTAACAGAAGAGAGGGGGACTAGGAGAAATTAGGTGGGGAAAAAAAAAAAAAAAAAAAAAAAAAGAAATCTAGGCAGGGTTCTTAGGCAAAAGTTATTGTTCTGTTCCTTGCTTTTTAAAGTATGCACTTAAGTGCAGCAGTAGGCTCTGCTAGGCCATCTTACTCTTCCTCCCTTTCTGGGTTCCTAACCATGAGTACCCAGCCCGTCCACAGTGCAGGACAAAAAGATCAAGTTCCTTTCTCCTTCAAAAGGCCTCAGGCTCCCCTCCTGTGTGGAGGGGATGAGTACCAGCTCTGAGAGGGAGTGGGGTTTAGGATCCGAGTCAACAGTCTCATTTCTTCTTGTCCTCTTGGGCCTCACGTGAAGGACTCCAAATCCAGCTGCAGGATACACTAACAATCCCAGTTCAAGATGTAGGACCCCAATAAGCCTGTTCTAACCAGTGCCGAGCAGAACTACAGAGTATTCTGCCGACTTCTACCACTAGTTTTGTACCTGAGTGGATCAGCACAGGTCTCCTAGTCCAGGAGCAGGGGACTTTGAAGTATACTATCTGTGGGAGAAACAAGCCACAAAGACAAAGTCCTGCCAACATTTCAATAATCCCTGCCCAGTCTTCTCAGAGAGTCCCCTACAATGGGCCCTTTCTCCTCATCCTCATTCAGTACCTTCTTTGTGACCCCCAAGTGAACAGGTAAATACAACCAGCTTTCTTGACCTTATGCAACGCCCAGATCCAAGGACTGCCCATCCAGTGAGGAAGAACAATGGCTCCAACTGGACCTCATGGCCCTAGTCTGACCATGCATACTTGGTGACTGGCTTGCTGTAGCTGGGAGAAGATTGGAGATCGTTCCTACCTGTAGGGACAGGGGGGTGACTTATGCCAGGTGTGACCAAGCAGTTGCCAACTCAATGTCACCAGCAAAGCTTTAGTGGCGCTCCCTGTCCAAAGTCCTCTCTGTGGTGCGGTGCTGGCTACAGCCATCCACCAGGCGGAGTCATCCACAGCTCTGCCACATCCTGTTCAGGAGCCACCATCCTGATAAGCAGCACAGAAACCCCATTCTTCTGTTCCTGGCAAGCCTTGTTACCTCTGCCCTGCCCTGGCCCTGGCCCTGGCATGGGGCTTCCAGCCCAACTGGTGCCACACCCTCTGGCTCCTGACAGGCCTTTCTCTGAAGAGCGCTGCCTTGCTGGACAACCAGGAAGCCTCTCTGGTACATTCTTGGGCTTCTGTACTCCGAGCATTGACAGAGATCACTGCCTTCCTAAGATGTCCCTTCTGATCTGGGTCTTCTCTATGCACACATACACAGTAAGTATGAGACAGTTCACTTGTCCTGCTGTATGTCACATGTTTGTTTGGTGTCTGGTAGACAGCAATGGTCCCAGTGGAAGGGCCCAGATATCTCCGTGCCCTCTACTCCTCCTCATTACCTTCATCAGCTCTGCATCTTGACTGACATCTACAGTCTCAGACCTGGCTGACCACTGTGGCCACCAAGGAGCCCGATGAACTGCAGCACTGGGCCCCATGTCAGATTTAAAATGCTTGACAGTGTTAAGAATTTCCAGCCTAAGACATTATCAAAGGGAATGAGGGGAGCTGGAGATGCTGCTCAGTGGCGCAGCACCTGCTCAGCAAGCTCGAGGTCCTAAGTTTGATTCCCGTCCCTGCCCTGCTCCCTTCCCCAATCAAGAGGAATGGGGATGGCAGCTGAGGCCACCACCACTATCTCAGAGGCCCCTTCTCTACTATAATGATTCCCAATACAAGCTAGGAGCCATGCATACTAGGGGGCCACCAGCAAATACATCTAGAGCCTGCAGAGTGGGTACTGTCGGTACATTAAATTAGCTTGGGAAGTCATGGAGGGTTCCCATGAAGAAAGGGCAGTAGTACGAAAGTAGAAGGGCAGGATGACAGATGCATGGGCAGAAGTGATGTGAATACATACCATGTGGCCAGGAGCAAAGGGGCAGAAGGGGACGGTTGGGAGGTAACAGGAAAGGTCCTGGGGAGGAGCTCTGGGCTGACTCAGGGAGTCTAGACAAGCTGGCTCGCTCACTCTCGCTGCAGCCCTACTGTGCTCCCCTCCTTGGCCTCTAGCCTAACCAAAGGCACCATGCCAGTCCTCCGGGTCAGCTCCTTGAAGCTCTGCAAAGGGAAGGTTCAAATGAGAGGTTTCTCCTCCAGGATGGGCCACAAAAACTCCCAGCAGTATTCAAAAACCAGAGGAGCAAAACAAGCCAGTGGCCTTGCCCTGCAGAGGACAGTAAAGCCCCTGTCTTGATCCTCCCCAACTGCAGCGCAGAGAGGCCAGTGCCACTCTACACCACAAGTGTGTGGGAGGGAGGGGGAGTGG